AAGAAGCACCCAAGGGTTAGTGGGACCAAGACAGGCAGAGCCTGAGAGGCGCCACAGGATCAGAGTTTGGGGGCAGGAAGACCCCCTCCCCCGAGCCCTCTCCCCCAAATCCCTTCCCTTCCAGTGTTTGGGATGAATCGGAGAGAGAAGAGGGATTTCCAAAGCATCTTCACCCTCCCTTGGTCCTTGGACCCCAAAGCCCTCCCCTCCCTCCCTCCCTCCCTCTCACCCCATGTGGCCCCCACCAGTCCACTCACCTGCAAGGGGGCTGCTAAGCGGCCTGGTTGCTCCCTGGATTGGAGAAAAAGACAGAGAATGAATGAATGTCTTGTCCTGTGAGGAGGAGAAATCTCTCTCTTCTCCATTCAACCTCTTCAGCCTCACAAACTTCTCAAGAGGACGTAAAGCTTTTTATTTATTTATTAATTAAACTTCCTTCCTATCCATCTCATCAAAGTGACTCTATATATAAATATATAAATATATAAATATAAACTGCCATGTGGAATATTATATATATAAATATATAAATATATAAATATAAACTGCCATGTGGAATATTTAAAACAATAAATAAAATCCAGATTCCCCCATCAGATCATGTTGCCTTTGCTCCAACAAGAAAATCAGGTCCAGTGAAATATATAACCGTGTGTGGTGGACTTGTATAGAAGCTAAAAGATATTGGACCAAAATAAACACATGGTTGGAAAAAATGATTAAACAACATGTAGATTTGAAGCCTGAAATATTAGGAATGGTACCTGAAGGTTACACCAAAGAAAAGACATTCTTAATTTTACATGTATTAATAGCAGCTAGAATTGTATTTCCTCAAAATTGGAAAAGTGATAAAATACCGATAGAGGGAAAAATAATTGAGAAAATATTTGAATGTACAGAAATGAATAGATTGGCATTAGAAACTAAAGAAAAAGAAGAATCTGAATATTACATGGTATGGGACTTGTGTTATAAATGGCTAGGAAATAAAATTAATTAAAAGGGATTAGACGTATTTATAAAGCAATGAGAGAAACTAGCGTAATAGACATCCTGAATATTATTTATATATATGGGAATGTGATTAATATTATATTGTTATACTATTAAGAAGAATATTATTAGTAACTGTTAAGCACATGAACTATGTACCTAAACGACACACAATTGAAATGGAACTAATTTGTTGTATGTTAAAAATAAAAAAATAATTTAAAAAAAAGATCCTGTCCAGTGTGTGGCCGCTGTCTCGAGTCAAACCCAGGACGATCTGGAAGAGACCCACGGACGCCACGATGGCCATGAACCCTGGGCTGCTTCTGAGGCCAAGACCAAGGACGGCAGATTGAAGTCTCCCGGGACCATAATCCTGGGCCAGTCCATGCCAACCCTGAGAGGGTCTCCAGCAGCTCAGGCAGGGAGGCTGGTACAGTAGCCACAAGCCCATCATGTCAACCCAGAGTCAGAAACAGGGAGTCCCAACCAGAATCGTGGGCTGGGAGCATCCTGAGTGCCAGGAGAGATTCTCAGGGGACCCCTGGAACCCCAACAAACCTGCCTGGGATCTCGGTTGGGGCCACACCCTAAACCCAGCTGGGCATATCTGAGAGAGGGAACCTCTTCCCCTTCCAGAGTCAGCCAGGTCCCATCTATGCCAGCAGAAGAGTCTCTAGCCACTGGGGATCATGGCATCGCTAGTGGTTTCCCTGTTTCCCCCTCAAAGAATTGGGGGCTCCTTCCTCCAAAGGGGACCACCAGGCTCCACCATGCAGACTCTGGGCTGCCTCCCCTGCCTGAATCCAACAGGGAGAGTTTTCCCTTCTCCTCTGCAGAACAAATAAGTGCAAGGAAAGTGACATTTGGGACACCCGGCCGGCTTTCATGCCTAAGGCGGGACTAGAACTCCCGGTCTCGCCTGGTGCCCTCACCCACTAAGCCACAGGGGGTGCAATTATTCCAGTGGTTCCACCAGAAGCAGAGGGAACAAAGGAGGATGGATCTGGAGGGCCTTTCAAAAGTGGGGGCCTCTCCTCTTTTCACCCCCTTGTCCACCCAGAATCTTCCAAAGGGACAGAATGGCTCATGCAGCAGCAGCAGCTCCTCTGACTTACCCTGGTCTGAACTGTTGGATCCTTTGTCACTTGCTGGAAAAGAAGGAAAGAAAAAGAGGGTGAGCAGGTTGCTCTCTTGGCTTATAGGGGGAGAAGCTCAGCTCTTTCTGACTCCAGCTCCCTCCCTCCCTTTCTCTCTCTCTCTCACACACAATCAAAGACACATAAATCCAGGGGTCGCAAACCTTTGGGACCTCGGGGACCATCAAACTCATAATTTCAAACCCCGCGGACCACTAACATGAATTTTGACGGACGGTGGCTTGCTGATGTTGGTGGGAAAGTCGGTCCCATATTCCAGAGCTGCAGTAGTCAGCTGTGGTCATCCCGGAGCAGCTCATCCATGGCAGGCCGGTGCACAGGCCAGTCCTGTGACTACTGCAGCTCTGGAATATGGGACCGGCCTGTGTTTGGATTGGAAATCTCCGCCGTAGCGGCTGGCACCTGTAACGTGCAAATTTTCAGGCAGTGCAACATGCAAAAAGCAGCGCAGCCCTCGCCGACCAGGACCAGCTAACGGTGCTGTTGCAGCAAGAGGGGGCTGGCCGCACAGGTGGGCTGAAGCAGCGATGGAGATGGCTGGAAGGCGCAGGAGCGCTGCTTTACTTGCATTTGTGTGGCGCTCCCGCACCTTCCAGCTCGCCTCTCCTGGCCTGGGCTCTTCCTCGATGGCCGCGGGCTGTAGGGACGGCTGGGGCAGGAAAAGTACCGGCTGGTGGTGGTGGGAGGGGGTGGAGTGGACAAGTCTGCCCTCACCATTCAGTTCAGAGCTCCAGAATGGGGCGTTGTCGGTGTCAGTTTTCTCACGCCAAAGGGTGGGGGCCAGCGGGTGGGGGGGCCATGTGGGTGGGGCAGCCTTGTGTTCCTGCGCAGCATGGATTAATTGCTTTGGGGGAGATATTTCTCTGCGGACCAAAAATTTTTTCTCATGGACAACCAGTGGGCGGCAGCCCAAAGGTTGGTGATCCCTGCACAAATACACAGAGATTGAACCAAACTGCTTTGGCTAAAAGGCATCGGAAACAATTCTCAAATTTCAAATGTATATCACACAAAGCCAGAAGTCAGAGCTGGACTAACAAGATAAAGATGGATCCAAGGTTGCTTTTTGTAACCAGTTCGTACTTAGAGAGCCTTGTGATGGGAGACCAAGAGGAGATCCAGCTGGCATGCCCCAAAGCTCCTTTTCTCTCAAAATGCCCCCTTTGGACCCCTGATTTTATGGAGCTTCTGAGTCTCATTTGGCCAAGCCTTTCCTTTCTGTCTCCTTGGGAAACAGAGCATGTCCTCAGTCAGGGGGACCTTCCACCAGCCGCGTCTTCTCATCTTCTTGAAGGTTCCTTGTCCCAGGTGTTTCTCCCTGAGGACTCCACTTCCAAGAACAGCCTGGCTGTAATGAGAAGGGGGCCCATCTTCCCCAGCCTGGTTCTTAGCATGAAGAGGAAGATAGCACATGCAAACATACACGCACACACACCCCTCCCAACTAATGGTGCCTCTGGTCCATGCTCTAAATTGGAGATTACGTGCAAAGAGGACAAATCACTCACTTGGCGTTGCTTTGTAGCCACCCTGGCGTCTCTCTGCAAGGACAAAAATCAGTGAAAGCTGAAAACAATCCACCAGAGATCATCCAAACTCTCCCTCCGTAGGAGGAAGAACCGCAGGAGATACTTCACAGACCCTTTGTCCCATTTATAAAGAGAGAAAGATCTTCAAAATACAAATGTATCTCCTGATTTGCCCCAAGAGAGACCTGCTGCCTCCAAGATGGATGGAGGGGAATTGGGGGAAGCAGCAGCAGCAGCAGCTGGGAGGGGAGGAAGATTTTCATGGAAATCCTTCTCTGCTGCTCTTTGACCAAATTCTTCGAAAGGGACAGAACTGGGAAGCCTCTTCCCAACTCAGAAGAAGACAGGACTGCCTGAATCTCAGACTCAGCTGAATGGAGACGGGAGTCCCAGCGAGAGGCTGAGATCTCAGAGGGCTACGAAAACAGGACAGAAGGAAGCCCAGAAGAAGCTCCCCAAAGGGGGTCCTTCCATCACCCCCCCTCAAAAAAAGATACTCACTGAAGAATACCAGGATCCCAGCAATCACACCCACCAGGACAAGAGCAGCCACAACGCAGCTGATGATGATCCCCAGGTTGGATTTTGAATTGGTTGGTTCTGAATTGGGAGAAAGAGCAGATCATTGAAGGAGAAGCCCAAACAATCTTCCCAAGAGAGACCTAAAGAAGGGAAAGCTGGAAATTCCCCAAAATTAAAAACTCCGTGGGCTCATTTTTGTGTCATTTTCAAGGTAACATGAAGGAGCCTTGCTAACCATTGTTAGAGGACGTGTCCTCCTGACGCTGCCTTCTTCTCCCACCAGCCCAGCATGAAGGCAGCTGGATTCATCTTTGGCTTTTGGACTCAAAAGCAGCCCTTTGCCACCTTGTGACTCTCAGCAGCTTACAAAACAAAAACGTCTCCAACACAATAAAATAAACAAAATTTGTTAAACAAAAACATTTTGGGAATTGGGCAGATCTGTGTTTGCATTTTATTACTTAAAGTAAAATAGTTCATATCACCTAGACTTTTTTTGTAAGTACACACTTTCATTTCTTTGGCTAGTCCAGAACTAGCATAAAATTGTATTTTGTGCTTCCAGAACGTTATCATGAAAATGGAATAGGGTGATATCCAGCTTCTGGATGGACCAACAAATGGCAGAAATAGAATAATGGAATAACAGAGTTGAAAGGGACCTTGGAGGTCTTCCAGTCTGACCCCCTGCTCAAACAAGAGGCCCTAAACCATTCAGGACAAGTGACTCTCCAGTCTCTTCTTAAATGCTTCCAGTGATGGAGCCCCCACAACTTCTGAAGGGAAGCCATTCCTCTCATTAATTGTCCTCCCTGTCAAGAAATTTCTCCTCAGTTCTAGGTTGCTTCTCTCCTTGTTTAGTTTCCACCCATGGCTTCTTGTCCTGCCCTCAGGTGCTTTGGAAAATAGCTTGACTGCCTCTTCTTTGTGGCAGCCCCTGAGATATTGGAACGTATCATGTCACCCCCAGTCCTTCTTTTCATCAAACTAGAAATGCCCAATTCCTGGAACTGTTCTTCATAGATTTTAGCCTCCAGGCTCCTAATTATCTTTGTTGCCCTTCTCTGCCCTTTTTCCAGAGTCTCAACATCTTTTCTATATCGTGGCAACCAAAACTGGACGAAGAATTCCACGGATGGTCTTCCCAAGGCATTATAAATTCGTATGGCTTGGGGGGGGGGGAAGCAGGTTTGAGGAGGGAAGTTTAAATTTAAATTTCTCTTGAACAAAATTCAGGATTCCCATTGAATAGCAATCATTCCACTTGTGAATTTGGTGCTTGCTATAAACAACAACAAAAATAAAAGGAATATTTTATATTGCCTGGGATATCAGCATAACAATTACATTTGAATATTTCTTGTATCGTGGTGACAATCATTAATAAAAAAATTGAATTTGAATTTTGCAACTTTGGAAGTCCAGTGTACGTTAAGGACACTTCTGAGCATATACAGAACTCTTTGAAAGAGGGCTTTTTTCCTTGGGTTTTATGCTGAGCCTCAGGAATTCACATATCAGATCATAAAATAAGGTAGAACTTCTTTCTTTCTTAGAGAAGCAAAACTCAGACTTCTTAGCCTCTTTTCTGACTCCTGATGCATCAGTCCAGCCACTCTCTGCATTTCCTGAAGTCGGCTGCACTTCATCCATTTTAGTCAAAATTTTCCTTCAGAAAAGGGGCAACCAGACTCCTCCTGATTCTTGCACTTTAGGAATTGTGAACAAAAGGGAATCTGTTTCTGGTGCTGGGGGCAAGAAACAGGGAAGGCCTAAGAGAGGATCTGAGGGCATTTCATCAGGATCGGCCAACTCTTGTGATGGGACTCTGTACTTTCCATCCCCTGAAGTCAGTTCTATGCTCTGGTCCCTGCAGCTGCACCAACCACAAACACTGGAAAAACCAATGGATGAAAGCTCAGGTATGCTCACACCTGGACACATCTGGGGCCAGATTCCTCTCCCACCACCTCCCAGCCTGCCAAAGAGCCCAGCCTTCCCCTCCCTGCAGCCTCTCACCTTTCAGGGCCAGGTCCAGAGGCTCCGGCAGGCCGTCGTGCTCCACATGGCACCGATAGCGGCTCCTCTCTTTGGGGTCGATCCAGATGCTGAGCCAGTAGTGGTAGGTCCCATCCGCGTTGGGGGCCACAGACTTATGGAAGGTCTCCTCCTCCCAGACCTCCCCGTCCCTCGTCCAGAAGGCATCGATCTCCCTGGGGTAGAAGCCATCCAGGCGGCAGATGTGCATCTCCATCCCATCCTCCACCTCTGTCTTGCCTCTCTCCAGCGTCGCCTCTGGGGGCTCTGCAGAAATGGCACCCCCAGAATTAACTCTCAGCCCCTCCAGAGCTTGGAAGGGGGGAGGGTGAGAAACTTAAGAGAGGCAGGAAAATCTCCCAGCACTTAATTTTAACCTCAGGATTTAAACTTCACACCTGCAGCATCTCCAAAAGTTTTAGGAAATGCTCCAAATCTGGAAAATGCTCAACCACAAGAACTCTTGATTTTCCCAAATTGAGGGTCCAAGGAAATTCCTCTCTGACTGCTTTGAACTCTGACTGATCTTGGGCTGCTCCCTTCAGGGGAGGGAGAGTGCAGATGGTCTTTTAGGTTCCCTTTCAAGACAACCACAACAACACAGAAGTTGCTCCCTACTTCTTGGTTCCTCTTCTTCTCCCCAGAATCTGAGATTGCTCCAGGCCTCTTTCCAAGGGACACAACCACAATGTTATGAGCAAGAGAGCCAGAATCAAAGCCAAAAGGGGCTCAGGGATTTTGGAATTTCTCACTGATCTGTTTGGAAAACAGATTTTGTCTCTCAAAAGGCGGGGGGGAGGGCAGAGGGAGGTGATGCCAATGGAAGAGAGAGAAGGTCCTCCCTGGCAGGGAGGGGCTGTTTGCAATCTGAGGGGGGGGGTGGATTCCCCCATTGATCCTAATCTCAACCAGCTGATCCTGGAGGGATCAAAGAGCCAAGAGGGGGAGGGGTGGTCTGGATGGTGAATTAATAACAAATGATAGGAAAAGGTTATAATGTGACCCCCTGTGGGGTGAGGGGGTGTTCCTGAAGGTGGGGAGGGGGCCGTTTTGAGGAAAGAGTCACTATGTCAGAATTGAGGGAACCTGTTTGAGGTTTAAGAGAAAGATCTACAAAAACTATGGGGGATCCCCCCACCCTGGAAAGAGAACCCCTCATCCATGGGCTTCTTTGCCCAAGTGGGGGCTCTGATGACGTCTTAGGAAGGGCAGAAGAGGAGCCCCCACAGTGGTGGCCATGGGAGATGCCCCAATCAGGTGCAAGACTGGGAGGGAGCCCCCTGTGGGATGTGGGGGGAAGGAGGGTTCATGGGGGCAAATTAAGGGAGCCCATCACTCTTGACTACAGTTTGGCTAATGGGGGTTTCACTGAATAGCCCCAAATGGTTCCCTCATTGTGGGCAGTGAACGGGACACCCTGAAGGGCTTTTCCTGCCAGGGAGGGGCTGCATTTCCTGGTCCACTGAATGGCTGCCTGGCAATGGGAACCAAACAGGGCTTCCCGTGTCCTGCAAGAGGGGCTGGAAGGGGAGGAGGAGGATTCCCACCAGGGCAAACAGGCTCCAGACAAGGGACCCAAAGGGGCTGAAGGTGTCAGAGAAATCCGGCCATCAAGAAGGAAAGTCCAGCCTGGATCCAGATGCTCACCTGTCCTCAGCAGCGTCTCTTTCCCATAGGACAGGTACTTCTCCAGCCACTCAATGCAGGTTTCCTCCAGGTAGGCTTTCTTTCTCTGGTTATATCCTGGAATAGCATCCAATTTCCTCTTGCTGATCTGGGCCTGGGGGACGGGAGCCACCCAAGTGAGGGTATCCTTGTCGAACATGATGAAAGTCTTCCCTTCATAGCCAAACTGCATAAACCCTCCTTTGCTCCTGTTTGCATGGAGTTCACAGCCACACATCCACTGCAACGTGTGAAGGCCTAAAAGACAGACAGGGGGATGGTTCAGGGGTCTCCGTCAAGATAGGCAGAGACCCTCCTTCCCTGCAGAGACCTTGACACAGGCACTGACACCCCCATTTCCTCCCTAGAGTTCAAGGGAAAGAAAGCCCCCATCACTAACCGCCCTTCTCCCCTCCCTCGACCTTCCTCCCTGCATTTCCCCCCCAGGATGGAGCCCCTGAACCTCCCCAGGAAAAAGGAGAAGCTGGAAAAGACAGCAGAGGATCCCAAGGGAGATTGAGAAAAGGGGGAGTCACAGAATAAATGGAGGGACGGAGACACTTCCATCTTTCCTTCTGCTCTTCCTCTGCAGGGGAGACTCTTGGGGGGAAAGGAAGGGATCCCAGAGAGAGAGAAAAGTTGCCTAAATCTGCGGCTGCTAAGAGGGACTGAGAATCTCATGGCCTCAAAGAGGATCTGGTCGATCTACACAAAAGTTTTCAGGGATCCCTGTGACCATAAATCTTGGTCTATATCCACAAATAAAACCACATCACAAGGGCTGCTTCCCACTTTGGGCTAACCAGAAACAAACCATGGTTTAGTGCAATGTGAGAATGAAGCCTCGAAGGGACACAAAGGAATATTTTCCTCAGCCACAGCAGCAAGTGGCCCAGTCTGATCTGGACACCCAAAGGGTTAATGACCTTTGAAAGGAGCTTGAAGCTTACAGTCTCTCCAAGGCCCTGGAGAAGATGTTTTAACTTCAAGTGACCAGATTCTTGGATTTAAGGAGAACACTGAATGTTTGAAAAAACAAAAACAAATGGAAATCCTGAAATGTTTCTACTTCTCTTTGGCCTTGAGAGAGAGAAAGGACGCCAGAAACTCTCAAATCTAAGGAGAAACTACCTGTAAGTACAACTGAACTAAACTGACCAGCCCTTTCTGTTACGAACTAAGCAAATGCGCTAGTTTAAAATCCTAAATAATTTTGCTTCCATGGCAGGCTCGTAATCCTGCACTTCTGATTGGCCTGCTGAAAGCGGATCGTGATTGGTCGTCTCTGACTGATCTGATTGGCTGACAGCGGGTCGCCGCTGATTGGACGCTTCCAGCGGAGCAAACTCAAACCATTGGGTGTTGTGACAGCAGCCAGCTCTATAAAAGGAGCTGCTGCTGCCCAAGTATTTTGCTCTGTTCTGAAGTCACTAATAAAGAGTTGGAGTCACTATTTGATGCCTCGTCTCCGTTCCTTGCGCCCACACTCCGGACTTAACACTGGCGACGAGAATGGGATGCGGAGACGATAAGAGCTGACTGAACACTCACCGAACGCTACAGAGCACGTGGCTGAGAGCGCACCAAGAAAAGCGGCAGAATGACCAGCAGCGCCATACCACCCGCTCCATTTGACCCGGCAAACGAAGACTGGGACTCGTATATGGACAGGTTTCAGATGTTCCTGGAAACCAACAATCTGAAGGATGCATCACCTGGCAAGAAACGAGCTGTATTCCTGACCCATTGCGGGCCTGCCGTTTTCAAAATGGCAAAGGCACTTGCAAAACCAGCAGAAGTCAAGACAATGGACTGGGACAACCTCGCCCCAATCCTCCGGGCCCATTATGCCCCAGCAGTACCAACGCTCATCCGAAGACACGAGTTTTACCAGAGGGACCAACAGGAATGCGAGAGTGTTGGAGACTTCATCGCGGACCTTAGGAACCTGGGAGGACTCTGTGGCTTCACAAACCTTGAAGAAGCCATGAGAGATCGAATTGTCCTGGGTCTCAAGGACCCCACAACCCAGAGCAAGATAATGGTGAAGGGAGACATCGCCCTCGCAGATGTCATCGCCGATGCTACTGCAGCAGAAGCAACCAGGAAGTAAGCCGCTCGAATGCACCGAGCGAACGCGCCGCACCGCCAACTCGCCACCAACGCTACACCGTTTTCCGAGAGGCACACAACAACCACCCACCATGAGGACCTCGAATCCTCATCAGAAAGCGAGGAAGAGGAGGTCAACTGACTCAGGTCAGAACGCGACCAGCGAGACCAGTGGAATCGAAAGCCCCCGTATCAATGCACTGGATGCGGGGGAAGTCACCCGCGATCCGACTGCAAATTCCTAGATGCACTCTGCCGTTCCTGTGGAAAGAGGAGCCACATCGCAAAGGTCTGCAGAAGCAAGCGAGGGCCCAGCCCAACCAGAAGAGAAAACAATTTCCGACAGACAACAGGCACCCCACCAGTAAATCGGGACCGCCAAAGCAATCAATGGAACCTCCACTACAGAAATCGAGCACCTGCCACTTCGTCCAGACGAGAAGAGGCACATCGGACCATCACCATCGGCCATGCTTCATCCCTTGATGCAAGGAAAATCCAAGTGAGGGTCGCTATCAAGAATCAACCATGCGTTATGGAGGTCGACTCTGGGTTGTCCCTATCCATGGCCTCCTGGGAAACCTTCAAACAGCTGATCCCTGACATCCGTCGCCAGGACCTCAGCACTCAAAACATCATATTGAAAGACTACCAAGGAAACAGAATTCCAGTTGCCAGTTCCAGCAATGTCAGAGTAGCCTTCAAAGACCACACCGCAACCCTACCTCTGACCATCGTCGATCGAGATCGGCCCAGCCTGCTGGGTTTGCAGTGGTTTGCGCCATTAGGAATTGAACTAGCTGGCATCAACCAGACCGGAAGCAATGACTGGGAAGCGGCCCTCGTCCAGGAATTCCAGGATGTGTTCAGCGAGAAGCTAGGCAAGTACAAGGGATCCCTCATATCATTTAACCTCAGCCCCGAAGTTGCGCCCATTCGCCTTAAGCCTCGTCGAGTGCCCTTTGCACTCAAGCCAAAGATTGATGAACAACTGGACAAATTAATAGCCCAGGGCGTGTTGGAACCGATTGACCATGCCCGATGGGAGACCCCAATCGTAACCCCCATAAAACCAGATGGATCTTTGAGAATTTGTGGGGATTACCGGGCCACCCTAAATCACGCGCTCCAGCAGAGCGCTTACCCCGTACCTGTGGTCCAACACCTTCTTCATTCCCTGGGAGGTGGAAAAATATTCGCAAAATTGGACCTAGCTCAGGCATACCAGCAGTTGCCCGTAGATGCACAGCTGCCGAGGCCCAAACTATAGTCATGCATAGAGGGGCATTCAAGTGTAATAGACTTCAATTCGGAGTGAGTGTAGCACCTGGCATTTTCCAGAGTTTGATGGAAAGATTGCTACAAGGCATAAAAGGGGTCGTGCCCTATTTGGATGATGTTTTGATAGCTGCCCCTACTAGAAGCCTATTAGAAAAATGACTCAGAATGGTTCTACAGAAATTTAAAGATGCTGGCCTGAAGGTCAAGAAGGACAAGTGCCAACTCTGTATGGAGAGGGTTGAATTCCTGGGCTACCTTCTTGACAAATGGGGAATTCACCCTACTGAGAAAAAACTGACTGCAATAAAAAAACGCCCCAAAACCTAGAAATAAAACAGACCTCCAAGCCTTCCTAGGACTCATTAACTTTTATAACATCTTCTTGCCCCAGAAGGCAACTGTTGCTGAACCCCTGCATAGGCTCCTCGACAAGAAGGCTTCCTGGGTCTGGGGACATCGGGAAGAGTGAGCCTTTCAGCAAGTAAAAGACCTTTTAACTTCAGATGCTGTATTGATACAATATAACGAGACTTTACCCTTAACTGTCACCTGCGATGCCTCACCGTTTGGGGTAGGAGCCATCCTGAGCCACGTCCTGCCAAACAGTACTGAGGCACTTATTGCGTTTTTTTCAAAAACTTTATCTAAAACTGAGAGAAACTATAGCCAACTTGATAAAGAGGCTCTCGCTATTGTGGCTGCGATCAAACGATTCCATGAGTACATATATGGAAGACCCTTTTCCATAATTACCGATCACAAACCGTTACTTGGCATTTTAGCGGGAGACAAACCAACGCCCCACATCTTATCACCAAGAATGACACGTTGGTCAGAGTTTTTAGCTGCATACGATTACCAACTGCTACATCTCCCGGGGAAAGCCATTCCCCACGCTGATGCCTTGAGTCGCTCGCCGCTACCCGAAGTCATAGACGATCCAGCTCCAACCCTAGCTATGCTACAAATCGAAACCCTTCCTTCTCCACCACTGACTGCACGAGACATCGCCTCGGAAACAAGGAAGGATCCTTGTTTGGCATGAGTCCTCAGCTGGGTGGAAAGAGGTTGGCCTGACAACGAACTCAATGACACCTTCAAACCGTTCAAAAACCGACAGACAGAGCTTTTCTCTCAAAGAGGATGCATCTTGTGGGGAGACAGAGTCGTCATTCCAGAGCGGCTACAGCATAAAGTTCTGAAACTATTGCACGACGGACATCCTGGCATCGTGCGAATGAAGGCACTAGCGAGGAGCTACGCTTGGTGGCCAGGTATAGATAAGCAAATAGAAACCTGGGTGGCCACTTGCAGCAAGTGTCAGGAAACTCGCTCAGCTTCACCAAAAGCCCCGCCAACAGAATGGGAAACACCCCGGGGTCCCTGGTCCCGTATCCACCTCGATTTTGCGGGACCTACCAAGGGGCATACATTTCTTATAACCGTGGATGCCTATTCCAATTGGCTAGTGGTCCACAAAATGAAGAGCACCACCACAGAAGCAGTCGTTAAAAAATTAAATAGACTATTCGCTACGCACGGGTTGCCAGATGTCCTGGTTTCAGATAATGGACCCCAATTCACTGCTCTTGCATTTGAACAGTACCTAGCAGACTGGGGGATACGCCACGCCTTAACATCGCCAGCTCACCCTGCGGCCAACTGCGGCCAATGGCAGGGCTGAGTGAATGGTCCAATTCATAAAGAAAACTTTACACAAGATGGAGCAAGGGGACATCGATGATAAGGTGACCAGGATGCTCCTCCTCCAACATATTACCCCAAACAGCACCACAAACAAAACCCCAGCCGAACTCCTGAGGGCCGGAAATTTCGCTCACATCTTGACCGCCTACACCCTGCCTACACGCCAGAAAAGCCCCTGGGGTCCAGCAGCAGGTGTCGCACGTTCAAGGTAGGCGACCCAGTTTTTGCAAAAAACTTCTCTGGTGACCCATTGTGGGTCTCTGCTACCATAACTCAACTAACGGGGCCCCGTTCCTACCGTTTACAAACTGCTGATGGGAAAATGTGGAAGCACCACATTGACCAACTTCGCTCCAGACTGGCACCTACTCCCGTCACAAGCCCTGAACCTCAAACCTGGGGGAGGGGAGGAAAAGTGAGGGGGCTGGAAAAGAGCTAGCATACAACCCAGTACTCGAAACCCAGAAGTCAGCACAACCAACCCTGGGATATTCACCTTCCGAAGGAGAGCTGGACCAGATGATCGCCTCGCCACAAAGCAGCACGGCGACAGCAGCAAATCCAAGGAATTCGGATGACAGCCTTGACGGAAGCAGGGATGACAACCCCGAGTCGCCCAGTGAAGAGGTTGGACCAGCCGTGCCGTTAAGCTCAGCGAACAGCCCATCGGAACCTGAGTCAGGGCAAGGACTGGTGGAGCAACGCAGATCGGGCAGACAGGTGAAACGACCTGCTTACTTGTGAGAGTACATCACCCCACCCCTCCGATGGAACCTAGGGGGGAGGGGTGTTACGAACTAAGCAAACGAGGTAGTTTAAAATCCTAAATAGTTTTGCTTCCACGGCAGGCTCGTAATCCTGCACTTCTGATTGGTCTGCTGAAAGCGGATCGTGATTGGTCGTCTCTGACTGATCTGATTGGCTGACAGTGGGTCGCCGCTGATTGGACGCTTCCAGCGCGGCAAACTCAAACCATTGGGTGTTGTGACAGCAGCCAGCTCTATAAAAGGAGCTGCTGCTGCCCAAGTATTTTGCTCTGTTCTGAAGTCACTAATAAAGAGTTGGAGTCTATGGTGGTTTGGCATTGAAATGAGACACAGGGAACTGTCTCTGAGA